TGCAGCAGGCTACAGCACAGTGCAGCAGGCTACAGCACAGTGCAGAACACTTCAGCACAGTCCAGCAGGCTACAGCACAGTGCAGCAGGCTACAGGTTGGCCCAGTTCGACGGAGACTCACGTGAGCAGTAAGCGCGTCGTTGGCCTCTCGCTCCGACAGCCCGCCGATCATGGACGACACGATCCCGACACACCTGTCCAACCGCTGGTGCACAGACACACCGGAGAGATCGGAAACAGGCGTAAACACACAGTCAAAACAGTCATTAGGTCACAGATGTCAACATCATTATCGCTGTACATCAATATTTTACTAAAAAAAACATCAATTTTCATCCCTAATCTAATTCAGAGTCATGGGGGAGCCGGAGTTTATCCCAGCAAACAACGGGGCACAAGGCAGGGTACACCGTGGGCAGGACGCCCATTGATCACAGGGCAGACAGACACGCACACCAGGGCCAATCTCCCCAGGAACCAATTAACCCGCCAGCACATCTCTGCACTGCGGGAGGAAACCCACGCAAACACAGGGAGAACATACAGACTCCACACAGACAGCAGCCCAGGAACTGAGCCCAGAGCCCCAGTTCCAAAGTGCCACATGCACTAGAAAGAGTGCTACAGACATAAGCAAGGGGGAACCAGCTAATGCATTACTGTACACTGGATAGAGTACATCCCAATCCACTGCTGATAGCCCAGTCCAGGATTTACAGCCAGAAAGAATCCCAGGACACTGCAGTCTGTTCCACTCCAGGCTTGGGATCTAGACTCCCGAGTACTGTGACTTTGACAACCCTGCAAAACCCGGAGTGGATCAGCCAGCTGTGCACTGGGGATCCTACAGACACCCCTGTAAAAATCGGAGCGGATCAGAGCGGGGGTCAGGTTTATTTCTGCATCTGATTCACCGAGCTGTCACACGAAGGTCTATCTGTACGGAACGAGCGCTAGGGCCTTCATCTCAAAGAGAAACCGGGTGCCCTGCCCTCCGACCGCCCGCATAACCCGGAGCAGCTGCACCCAGCACCCCCGCAAGAAAGCTCAGCACTGCGGGGCGGATGTACACGAGCACCCCGCATGTGGGAAGGTCTGTTTCGATCCCCGAATAAAGACTACAGCGCTACAGCTGCTGCTGCCTTACAGATCTTCAAGTCCACCTCGCTGAGCGCGCTTTCGGGGTGCATTTCACAGAGGTGGTGGTGTGGGGGGGTCGTCTCACCTCTTCCAGCTCGTCTTTCGCGTCCAGACTGGTGGACACCAGCAGGCGACCCTGAGGTCTCCCTTTCGCGGAAGGCGGCTCCATCTTCGCCCGCCTCGCAGCCTGCCTGGCCCCAGCGACGGTGGAGGGCGGCTTTCGCTTCTGTGTTTCTTTACTTCCAGCTGGGTGTATTTTCCCCGGTCCCGTGTGTGTACCTGCGTACGACTCGCTCTCGCTACACCGGGCTCGGTGTTTATAAACAGGATACGGACAGCGGCCACCGCACCTGAACTGCCAGACTTCCGGAAGGCATGCTGACCTACAGGAAGCAGTCGCTTTGCCCACAGCGAGGGGGGTGGGGTTTGAGGGCCGTGCTGCATCAGCTCTAGCCAATCACAGATGACATTGAGGTGATTGACAGCAAAATTACCCATAGGAAGGTGAGAGGTGCCGGGACGAAATAAAGACAGACAGGAGGGTTATCCAATCGGAGACGAATTTTGTAATGACTGACAGTATGTAATCCAGTAAGAATTGGGCAGCAAGTCGCCAACAACCAGGCTAAGTGATTGTTAAAATTGTTTTAAGTGTGGTGTCCTGAATCTCACGGTCAACACAGAACGGTCTTTAATTTTTAAATCTGCGTTATGCGTATTTACGGAGCTGTTTTTTTTAAAGCAATAACGCAGCGCACATAAAGGAGGTCTCAAAACATGTTGTAGGAGAACAATGTTAGAATGATCTCTTAAATCTGAGTGCCCTGGAGATCAGGGGAGAAAGAGAGAGAAGGTCCCAGGTTTAAATGCAGTTCCACGCCGCTGGCACTCCTCACGTCCTCTGGGGGGTCTCGAGGAGCCCTCTGGGCTGAGTGTCGATGTCCTCTGCAGTCTGACCACAGAAGGAAGCTTCTCCCTGCAGGAGCCACCGGCTCAGTTCAGAAACGGCACCCTGGTCAGACACTGCACCTGTACGACCACCTGCAGTCTGACACGCAGCAGGTCTTCAGTTTATTGGGACTGTTTCCTGCCACAGAAGGCTACCTCTCAACTTCAGTTCAGTTTTCAAAACTGTACAGATTCAGCCTCTTTGGTCTGAGAGATAATCCTTTTCATGAAGGCAAGGAGGCACAGGGTTTCAGCTTGTGGCTACCAGCGCACCGAGGCGTGTGCCAGTGCAAGAGTACGAGTCCTTATACCTCATCTCTATACTCTTCACACTGATATATAAACACACTGAAACACTACACACTGACACGCACACTGATATACAAACACACTGATGTACAGGGAGATCAGTGTGACTGTACAAGCCCATATACCTCATCTTTATACACCACACACTGGTCCAGTCTGGGTCACACTGTAACCCTACA